CCTTTGGCTGCCCAGAAACGCCATCTGAGGGTTCCTCCCGCCGCGATGGTGGGAGCAGCCCGGGGACAGCGGCTCTGCGGGGAGGGCCGTGCAGGCCACGGCGTGATCCTGCAGAAACAGAAATGAACCTTGTGTGCTGCACTCCCGGGCGCTCCTGCTGTGTGCTCTGTAACAGTTTTTATAGAGAACTTACACTGAGGAACAACTGGGTAAAGATTGCACTGCCCCTGTTCTTTCAGCGATATTGATTTTTACGATAATAGTGACGTGAAGAATTGCAACTTAGTGTAAAATGTTCATGGTCGTAAGTCTGGCAGTTTTATTTCTGTGAAACAGCATCTTTGATCCTCTTTTTTAAGAGATGTTCTGTCTTTACAGAATGAAAACTGACACAACAGGAAACTTTTTTGCCTTTTCCCTTTGTTGTCTTTCATCACTGTGGCAGTGACAGCGGTTGGAGGGACGGGCATCTTTCATGCGCTGTCTTTTGTTCGAGCTCTGCCTGTAACTGTGTTTTCTCCCACCTCTGTGTGTGTGTGTGTGTTGGTGAGTGCCAGCAAAGGGCACACGGATGCCAGGCCCTTGTTTCTAGCTCTTTCGAGTAGGGGCTCTGGGTACCTGTCTAGCGGAGCAGGAGCTCCATGTGACTTGGCAAGTTGCCATATCTATCCTTATAAATCAAAGCAAGTTCCTTCTTCCTGACCCCTGCTCCTTGGGATAAATGCATGTGCTTGCATATATCTAGCACGTGGGAATTAAACTGATATTTCTGAAATGCAGACAAGGAGCAGTGAGTAGTTGCAAAAAAAAACTCAAAACCAAATGCGAGGAAAAACCCCAAAGAACACTCAACAAAAAAACCCACCCTGACTCTGTTTAAGCAGAGGCAGATACAGAAGCAGTTGAGCAGAAGTGTGCTTACCTTCCTGTTTCCAGGGGCTTGAACCTAAACTTTGTTGTAAAGTCTATTTGTAGAAGTCAGTACAAGTAACTTGACAAGGCTCAGACTCCTGGATTTTCACGTACCGTTATATGAAAGGTTAAGTCTTCAAAGCACCTGAAAAAGACTGACAAGGGGCCACACAGCTGGACTTCTGCTTCTTTACTTTAAGCCACTCCACAAATACAGATGCAGCTGTCCCAAGGGGTCCTTAATAATCTTCACATCTGGTTGTGAACTGAATAAATACAGTTCGTATAATCAATAGTTGTGCTCACAGCACTATAACAGTTAAGGGTTTGGGGTTAAAAGCCTGCAGAGCTTTCCAGCCAGAGGAGTCTGCTCCATCTGTGGGTGGTTTATTGCCCAGCTAGAGAACATCTTCCTGAGGCTGAACTGTCAGGATTGCCCAGCATCTGCCTGTGCCTTTAGCAATTTCTGATGCAATCAGAGGTAGTATTTGCTTGCTGCTGTTAAATAAATGCCTAGTGGTTTTCTCAAACTATTAATTTATCCCGCAAGAGAAATCACTATGTGTTGGAGTTTTTTTTAAACTTGCATTTTTTTTTTCCTAATAGTCCTCTTGTTACAATGTACAATTACTTTCCCAGGCGGGAAAAGCATTTAGGAAATTTCTTCCCCTCTTTGATCGTGTACTGGTCGAGCGGTGTGCGGCTGAGACAGTAACCAAAGGAGGAATCATGATACCAGAAAAATCTCAAGGAAAGGTGCTGCAAGCAACAGTAGTAGCAGTTGGATCTGGAGCCAGAGGAAAGGTAACTATCCTGAAGCATTCCATTTGGGTAGAATTAGTAATGGGATGGGAGTAGCTGGAATATTGCCATAAGAATGGGGTGGTTATAGTGCAAATGTGATAGCTCACAAAAATGGGTGACTGATGGCTGAAGTTGGAAGTACAGATTCAGAAAGGAAGTGGAAATTCTCCTAACTGTCTCTGGCCTGGAATACCAGCATTCCTTTCATTAGTTGTAAAATGGAGTGGGGGTTTTTTTGTGGTCCTGGAAGGACCAGCAGACCTCTTAGTTAAAATTACTACATGCCCAAATTTCTGTAACTTGAAAAGGGTAGAATCCCAGAATGTGGTATTTTGTGCTGTGCAAAATGTTACTGTCCATAAGGATTAGGCTTATTGGACTAAACAAAATTGGGAATCAAACCAAATAAGCGTCATATAACTTTGTTAATTTTGCACGTCGATTACATATCCAGAAACCATAAAAGAAAACAGTCTTCACAAAAATGCCACTGGCTGTGGGCTTCAGCATCAGAAGGGCTTTTTCTCCACCAAGGCAGTGTTGAGTTAGCAGCAACACTGGAAAACAGGTTAAATTTCAACCTGGGCATGATGACTTGGCCCTTCTTTACCATGAGCCCCTCCATACATACCCTGCTGGTTTGCGTCACTGTCTGATTTGTAAAGCTTTACGTTGTGAAATGGTGATAATGTTTGACTAATGTGTTAATGTTTTATTTATAATGCAAAAATTTAATTAAACTTTGTCAGGTGTTTCTAAACAACTGATTTGCCAGAAACAGTGACAAGTTGATCAAAGTAACAAAGATGGGAAGGTGCTTTTAACTGGCACTTGGAGAAATTAGCCTTGGCTATAGGATACAGAAATGGACTTTCTCCCTTGATTTTACAAAGGGGTTTCATGGTCCTTTAAGTAAAGTCCTGTTCAGTGTGTCAAATAAAGACCTCACAGTACTTACAGTCAAAACTAAATGCAGAGTTGTTGCGATTTCCTGAACTTTTTTTAATATGTGGATGGATCGTTGTAGTTTAGAGGAATTCTAAGGATTTCTTTTTTTTTTTATCTCCTTCAGAATGGTGAGATTCAGCCAGTGAGTGTAAAAGTTGGTGAAAAGGTTTTGCTACCAGAGTATGGTGGTACTAAGATTGTACTAGAAGACAAGGTAGGTTTCCCAATTTCATGAGAGCAAGTTAGGCTGGTTCTCCAAATGCCACACTGCCTGTAATAAACATTGGAGTTACTTTGTAGTGTTAGCAGCATTCCAGAAATGCAGGGGTTGGCATTCAAATGGGAGCAGGGGGATCCAGCCACCTTCTGGTACCTGTATTTGCTACTTTGGCCCCTGCATAAAAGGAAACCTCTGATCTGATCTTTGCTGGGTGGACAAAATGGTTCCATATGTCAAGCAGATCACAGGGAACCCAAAAAGGCTCTGAAATCACTGGGGTTATCCTTGCTTTTGACGGGGAAAGCTTGCAGAATTGTTTTCTCACAGTTCTTGTGCTTCCCGCTACTAAAAGTAGTAA